GAGGCCAAGATGGCCAAACTTCGTCTCTCATACTTTGGACATATTGTCAGGAAGGACCAGTCATTGGAGAAGTATATCATGTTTGGTAAGGTGGAAGAGCAGATAAAAAGTAGAAGACCCCCAATGAGATGGATTAGCCAAGTGGCAGCATCGATGGACTCAAGCGTGGCAACAGTAGTGACGTTGACCCAGGATCAGTCAGTGTTTCGTTCTGCTGTGCCTAAGGTCGCTACTGTTGTTGTTACGTGCCGTGGAGTCGGTTTCGACTCATAGCGACCCTGTACAGGGTTTCCGAGGCCGTAAATCTTTATGGGAGCAGAAAGCCTCATCTTTCTCCCACGGAAAAGCTGGTAGTTTCGAACTACTGACCTTGTGGTTCGCAGCCTGATTCATAACCACTAAGCTACCAGAGCTCCTTAAGGTCTCTATTAGTAGGTACCAATTCGATGGCACCTAACCACAACAACAACAACTATAAGTATCTTTTTAAAATAGCATAAAAGATGACTATATGCATGACACAGAAATCAAATTACTTACATTTGTGTAAATAAACAGTTGAAAAGCTCTGTATCTTCAGCCAAAACAAGGGTGGGGCAGACTGTGGAACACATCATCAATTGTTCATATGCAAGTACAGGCTGAAGTAAAAGAAAATCAAAACAAGTCCATGGGATCCAAAACATAATCTTAAACATATCCCACCTACATTTAGAAATCATCTGAGGAACAAATTTGATGAATTGGACACTAAAGATGCAAACCTGAAGTGTTGTGGGATGACATCAAGAACATCATATAGGAAGAAATCAAAGGTCATTAAGAAGACAAGAAAGAAAGAAAAGATCAAAATGTATGTCAAAAGAGACTCTGAAACTTGCTTCACAGCACAGAAATGCTAAAGCAAATGGAATAAATGAGGAGAAAAAGGAGTTCTGGATGCTCTGTAGGTTAATGCTCTGGACTGCAAGGTTGGTTTGAACTGCAGGGTTAAAAGTCACTATCGACTTCTCAAAAACTCTATTCAGGGTCACTATGAGTTGGTACTGACTAGAAGGCACTTTAAACAAACAAACAATTGAGATATATAGAAAATTTCAAATAGCACCTCGTGAAGACACAGGCGAATACTATAACAAAATGTGCAAAGACCTGGAATTAGAAAACAAAATGGGCAGACTCTGCTCAGCATTTCTCAAGCTGAGGGAACTGAAGAAAAAATGTAAGCCTCAATTTGCAATATTTAAGGATACTATGGGCAAAATAGGAGCCCTAATGTTACGCTGTGAGCTAATGTGCTGGAATACAAAGTCAGATTGAACCACAAGCTCAGTGGTTCAAGCTAACTAGTCACTTCTTGGAAATCCTATACAGAGTTGCGATGGGTTGGAACCAACTCAATGGCACTTAACAGCAACTACATGGGCAAAATATTGAGTGATGATGCACAGAGTGGACTGTAATTGCAATGAAATGATGAGTGTAAAACTAATTTTCTCCCACATAAACTATGATTAAATTCACAATAAAAACTTCATACATTAAAAAAAAAAAAAGCCCCAATATTTTATGATTACATTTAAGACATAAAATCAATGTTTTACAATGCTAAGAACTTCTAAAACACTCAGTCGTAATTTCTGTACATATTTCATTATGGATCAGAAACAAAGAGCTGGTGGTGCTGAGGAGTGCTGCTGCAGGCAGAGTCTTACACTCTGCTCAGGGAGACGCAGGCCAGATTGCTACTGTAGTACTATCTGTAATCAGGAACACCTAGAAACTACCCAAGTCTTCCTTATTAACTCATCTGAATATACTGAGGTTCACTCAGTGAATGCAGTAACACACAGTAGATAAAAATGAACCAGAAGCTACTATTATCAAAAGGTACAGCTTGATATTTTTGTAGTTTAAAATAGGTAGAAACAAACAATTCTTTAAATATAAATACGCATCTCTAGAAACATATTCCTAGTAAAAACATAAAAATATAGACAGAAAGGATATACAGGCAGTCCTTGGATTACAAAACAACTTCCATTCCTAAGTCGATCCTTTTAGCTAAATATGTATGTAAGTCAGAACAGTATCTAAAATTAGTCAGTCAAATGTTTCTCTTAGTACACAATACATGGTATATCTTTCTATGCATAGAAAACCTTAAAGAAACACTTCTAGAACACTAAAACATCTTTATCATAGTCATATAGTGAAAATAATAATTAGGTTTTACAAAGTAGCACCTACTAACAATTGTGCCTCAAATTTTTAATATAATAGATTTTATGGGAGTTCATTGGTTCATAACTACCAGTTGAAGTCCAACATTTATAACCTGGGAAATGCCTGTACATCAGCTTCTGAAAAGTAAGCTACCCTAAGAATAAAGGCCAAGGACTAAAACCAGGGAAGAATACAAAGGTGGTTTCTACCAGATCTATACATTCTTTTTCCTTACAAGAAAGCATGACTTAAAGGAAACATATGACAAAATGTTAAGCCTTCATTATATTATTGTTCTCTGTATATCCCTATATACATCTGAAATATCTAATAAAAAACTAGTAAAATGTTTACCATCCCAAGAACAAACAACTGAGGCCTAAGACGAGTCTACTGGTATCCTGAAAAGTTAAGAAAACCCCTGCAATTCAAACTGAGTGGGGGGAGGGAGGGAAAACACTGCTAAGTCCTACCCATTCTCCTTATCTTTGAAAAAGACAACAAGGCAGCCAACATACAACATGGCAGAGAGCCAAAGTACTTCATAAAGTACTGACTTTTCCTCCTTTGCAAGGCTTTGTTGTTGTTGTGAAGTGTCATTGAGTCAGTTCCGACTCATAGCAACCCTTATCCTGAGCTTGAACTGCTGACCTTGTATTTCAAACCAACCTTGCAGCCCAGCGCATTAAACTGCAGCATAAGGATATGCAAAGGAGTTGCCAGATTTTTCTACTAAGCATGATGCAATCTTGAGGCACATAAAATATCCACCATGGAAATGTTAACAGGATACATTTATCACACATGTATGTACCAAAAGACAGTCATCTGAAAGAAATACCAGTACCTATGACAGCCTTCTTCCTCTCGGTCTCAGCTTCTTTTTCCACAACTTTTTGTTTCTGTGCAGCAATAAGAAGTTTGGTTTTCTCAGCCTCCCTGTGGAGCAAATCATCATAAAAATTAGGCATGAGTTTTCATGTGTAGTCATAGACAAGAACTCTGACCCTACAGTGGGGTCAGTCAAAAGAAACATACTACACCAAGAACTTTCCAATCTATTAAGGTAGGCAAGACACTTTTTTACTTTACAATGTACTAGTTTACTAAGTCCTGGTGTGGTGCTGTGGGTTAATGCGTCAGACTGCAAAGGCTATTTGAAGTGCAAGATCAGCAGTTCAAGCTCACCAGCTGCTCCTCGGAAACCCTATACAAGGTCGCCATGTGTCAGAACTAACTCGACACCAATTAACAACAACAATAATAATAATCCAAGGGTGAAAGGCTAAATGATTTGCCTAAAGTTCCCCAGAACTTTGGGTACATTTTATAAGAGTAAAATTTCGTACATTTGAATTTTAGTCTATTTTTTTCCCTCAAACTGCATAATGGAAAGGCCTATTATCTGGAATATATTCATACTTCCTTCGCTATCAGGCCTCCTGCTAGCACAAACAGCACTATGAGGCCAAACACAAAAAGGCACCAGTCTGGGCAGCTGGACTTTTTCAGGTGCCTGGCTCGGTATGCAGAATGAAAGTGGTTTTCAGCCACTAATTGACTCAGCTGGTTACCTGTACAGTGACCCTGGTTACTGAATAGAAGCTACAGAGCTAGATGGCGATGATTAGGCAGTGCATTTGGGTTCAATTTAAGGAAGAATTTGAGCTTTCCAATCATGGAAATGCCTTCCTATTACTAAGAGTGAGCAAGTGGAGACGGGTGACCATATGGCAGAAATGGTATCAAAAAAGATTTTATTCGGTGGGATAAAATGATCCCAAGATGACTTTAATCTGGAGTTCCAATAGTCTATATAAATTAGGAAAAATACAAATATCTGAAAAGTAATACCACTAGTATCCCCAAACCATTTCCTCCTAAAACTCTCCCCACCTTAGGCTACAATGCTATTGTGGACACCGATTTGAGGACAGAGAACACATTTTATTTACCTTTCTGTAAATCTCACTAGATAACTAGTCTATTTGAAGACTAAGCCATCCTGAGCTTTGGATAAACACATTCTTCACTAACTGGATCAGACCCATGATCTCTCCAGTTCCATACGCTACAGCAGGGGTGGGACCCTTACTGCCAACAGCCATTTGGATATTTATAGCATCACTTGAGGGTCATATAAAATTATCAACTTAAAAATGAGCCTGCTATATTTCATAAAAAATTTAATTAACTCACCCCTAAAAGCCATTTGAACTGCAAGGTCAGTGGTTCAAGCTCACCAGCTGCTCCTCGAAAACCCTATACAGGGTCGCTATGGGTCGGAACCGACTCAACAGCACTTCACAACAACAACAATGTGATGGCTGGAACTGCAGTTGCTCTGGCAGGGCCAGATCAAATGATTGGCCCACAGGCTGGATGTTCCCCACCCCTGCTTTATAGTCTTAAAAAAGAAGAGCACCTCTTCTACAAAGAAAAAGGAAAACAGAACTCTTGGCTGCCAAAGGGTCTCAGAAATCTAGGACCCCACACAGCCATATTACTGCTACGCCTTGGACCCCTCCCCTATATACATATCTGTTGTATTCTTAACTTTTGCAAAATTATTTTTCCACTACCCATATTTTTCTTTTTGTTAAACATATCACCCAAATTTTCCAAAGACTTTTGTTTCTTCTTTTTAATATCTGTCATAAAAGGATACTACTATCATTCCAACTGCAGTGAGTACTACACTAAAAGGGACCCTCTAAAACTAGAAACAAACTTCATGTCCAGCAAATAACTCATCGCAGTCATCAGGCCTGGACATCTACAAGAGAAGACTACCAGGAGTCAACTCAGGCAAGGCTTCAGCAAAACAACTGATAAAGAACCTGCTCTAATTTTAGAGGCATAATCACATACAATGGATACTCAAACTTTATTCCAACCAGGTGTCTATTTTTACCATTACAACACAGTAACAAAATACAGGTACTGTTTTAACCTTAAACTTCTTTTCTCCTCTATAAACGGCATCCTTAGCCACTCAACTGCCCCTGAAATGTCAATATGTACAGAGAAATTTCCTAAGAGTCACATGGGAATTAAAACATAAGAACAGGTGATACTAAGGTAAATGTGGAGATAGATATAGGCCCCACCCCAGAGTGCAGTGTCTCCTCCAGATTGGTACATTAGTATGTAGACAGTCCTAAACACAAATACTGGGGATCCCACACATACTACTCACATCAACTCAAAATTTCTTCGTATGGCTTCTGGGATTTTGGGTTTTGTAACACGCACAGCCTAAAAAATAAAAATGAAAAAGCCAGAGAGCATTTGAAAAAAAGAAACATTCAAACTAAGTATCCTGTAAAAAGCTCTTGAACTGATGCTGATTATATGATTCAGAGGGAAGCACTGCCTCACTGCATGTGATCAGGACACTGTCCACATCGCTTATTAACTTGATGAAAAAGAAACATAAAACAGGACTGTCTTGCAGGTTCATCTCCTACTATAATGAGGCTAAAGCACATGCTTGTCATTCTTGGGAAACTTCATGATTTTCAAATATACGAAACCATAAATATCTGTTGTAACATATATCCTGAGTGAATTATATCCCCATAAGTTTTAGAATTATAATGACATCGCCAAAAACAATGGTTTAAAGACAAAGAGATACTGAGTGAAAAGAAAAAAAAACTCCCATGAAAGGAACATACCAGGAGAAACTGACACGTGGATTACAGGTATATGCACTTAAACCCAAAAGATAGGATTAGTTACTCCTTTAACAGAAAAATAAAAGGAAAAAAAATAATTAAGGAAACCCATTTTTATCACTTTAATTTACCTTAGCAGCTGATCAAGATGGGGTATAAAGACAGGTAAAGAATTGTTACTGAGGTTGCTTATTCAACAACAAACAGTTATCATGCACCTACTCTGGTGTGGCACTGTTGGTCAGTAGTCCAGTATTTACCTAAGTCCACTTAAAGAGAGTGGGAGAAAAATGTGAAATAAAACTCCAAATTACAAAACAAACAAACAAACAAAAAAACAACCCAGAGACTAGTGGAACCCTGATACTATGACCCTTAGAAACCCGTTAGGCCTGGATATGAACCTACCCTGTAGCTCAATTTGCAGCCAAGAAGTAAACACATCTATAAGGTGAATAAAAAGACTAGTGAGTTACGCACCCCTTGGAATGATCAACCATTGGAGATGAAAGGGGCAGCATGTACCCAGGGACAAAGCTCAAAAGGCAGGAAGGGTTAGGAAAGAAAGAAGAACAGAAATGGGAGATGGGGGTGTGGGGTAAGTGATGGTACTCTGTAGGCATTACAATCAGTGACATGAAACAAGATGCGTATGAATTGGTAAATGGGAAAGCCATTGCTCTGTGAACCTTCACTCAACTCACAAAAAGTTAAAAGAAACTCAGTTAGATTCCTCAATTCTTTAAAGAAAAAAAGTACAAAGACTGCATACTCAATAGCATTAAAACTCACTAAACATATAACAATCTTATTTGAGATTGTGGGTTTCTCCCCATCAGAAGCTCTGAAAGAAACAAAAAGAATGATGACTTAGTGAAACCAAAAACTGTTTTTAATTTTTAAAATTATATGCTAATTTAGGTAGCTGGTATAGCCTGAAATATCATAATGAAAACTTATCTGGAAGAATAAGCAGGGAATAATATCAAAGCCCATTATTTTTGAAAAGATGATGGTACCTTAAAAGATTTAAAAATAAAACAGTCAACAATTTTCAACTATGTGATAATGTGTTAAAAATAGGAAAGCTGATAGACTTGAAATTATAAAAATGCATTCCAACTACTGTAAGAAACTATTTTGTAACAAAGCAAAAGTAATGAAAAAAATGGCGATCATACCCTACCAGTTGAAGAATTTACTATAAAGCTCTATTTTTTTCATTCAGTAAGCTTTTATGGACAATTTCATATGGGTTTTGGTGTAGTCAGCAGAGTTATGGAGACTGACTGTTATGGGGTGGGGCAGAATGTGTCAAAGATGCCTTTAATACTTCTGGACTAGTTTCCTGAGAGATGTAGGTTGCTATTCACTGTTAAAAATGAAAACCAAGAGAGAAGCAGACGGGAAAAGATCAAGGGCTCAATAATGAAAAAGTGGACAAAGAACAATCAGTGGAACAACAAAGTTCAAAGAGATTCTAGTACACACTGGAATATAGTATACAATTGTTGTTAAGTGCCATCAAGTCAGCTCCTGTGACCCTGATTCACAGCGACTCTATATAAGGTTTTCAAGGAGACGCTGGTGAGTTTGAATTACTGACTTTGAGACTAACAGTCCCAGTCCTTATCCTACAGTGCCACAGCAGGACTCCTAGCATTCAAAATAGATATAATTTCTAACAACAAGAGGAAGTGGAAGGATAAATTCTTCAGCATTCAGTTGACAGTAATATACAAGAAGTAATTAAGAGTCTACTTCACAACTGACATTAGATGAATTCCGCATGGATTTAAGATTTCAAACCAAATACAACTATAAAAGTAGGGAAAATTTTAAGACTTTCTGATTTTATTTAAATTACTGTAATAAGGATATTATAGCCTGCCAACACAGCAAAACACACAAAAGAAAAAAAAAAGAAAATCACTATAGCAAAGTTTAAAGCTTCAAAATTATTAGGATGAAAATCAAAGTGTCAAAAACAAGACAAACACCTGGGGAAAACGTTTCCTACGTATTTTAAAAAAAGAGTTGCAATAACATATTTTAAAAAATAGCTTGTTTACATCAATAACAAAAACTGACAAACAACCAAATTGAGCAACACAATAAACAATTCACAAATGAAATAATGGCCAACAGATATCCTGGAACATTCACTCTCATACACACAAAACAACAACCGCCATCAACTTTTTCTGACTCATGCAGACCCCACTGTGCCAGACTAGAACTGCAGTCCACAGTTTAATGGTTGATTTCTCAAAAACAGTTCGTCAGGTCTTTCTTCCTAGGCTCCTCTGATGGACTTGTACTACCAACCTTTCAGTCAGCAGATATGACACATTAACTTTTAGGATTATCCAGGGACTCCTCAACCTCACTAGTCAAAATAAAATAACAATAGATTAATTTTATCAAAAAGGATTGAGAGAATCGGGTCCTCTCAGCGCAAATCCTCCTCCAAGACTAAGACACAATGGGAAAACGCGTTCTGATTGGCTACCACACACGTCACCCATAAAGAGAAGTGACCGAAGAACATCGAAGAAGCAGTGAGCTAAGCCCTGCATCGTTCAGCAGACTATGGTAAGCCCAGGTAGAGACCGGGTCGGCCAGCAGTGAGGCAAGACCTGGGGACTCATGGGCTCAGAGTCAGTGACACATCCACAGAGAACTAGAGAGGAGACTGAAGCGACCAACTGATAAGAAGAGGGTGGGCAGACGCAGGAACACCCACACCTGCAGATGATACCCACTTGCCATGGTTCCAATGATGGGATGAACAAAGCTCAACCCGGAAAAGAAAGAAGGGAAAAAAAAAAAAAAAAAGCATCATCTGATACATTCTGATAAACTGGATATCCATCCATGTATAAATTCAGTAGCTCAAAAGAGGAAACAAATCCCTGCTCCAAGAATTATTTCCACCCCCTCTATACAAAGAGTAGATAGGGATGGGCAACTTGAACATTGACTAACCAAAAATGGGAGAAGGGATACAAAGGTAAGAAGTGACTGGCTTACAAGCTTTCAAGAGGGAACCTAGATCCACAGGGCGGGGAGGATGGTGGAGTCTCCAGTGAATAGTGTCCGACCTGTCTGGGAGGGGCAGATGAAAAGAAATGCGGATGGGCCCCTTGGGATGCAAGGGTGAATGATTGTCACCAGGGCTGATTGTGAGGACTGGTAATGTACAGGTGGATATTTTATAGCAAGGAGGGGAGTGATTAACCTTTCAGTCTAGGATCACAGGGCCCTGGGACCATCAATGGAGAAGAGCGGAGAGTGGGATCCCACCCAGAGGAGCAGTGAGGACAGAGACGTGAAGAGAGAGGACGACGCGAAGATATGGAATGCCTGGGGACTAGGGATCCAGAGAGGGAGAAGGGCTGTGTGCTGAGGACAGTGAGGGGAGGGTGGGCGGGATTGTAGGGTATATCCTTTGGTTGGGCAATGATGCATGGACGGGATGGTAACTATGGCAATGAGACGATGTATGATGGAATGAATATAAAACTAATGTTCCCCCATTTAGACCATCACACAATACACAATAAAACATTAAAAATAAATACTGTGCCACTAGAAAAAAAAAAAAGGATTGAGAGAAAGACAGAATGCTGTGTGCATCTTCTAATGATATGAGTGCAGTCATACAATAAAATGTGCAGTGACTATAGCTCAGCAATACTGCAGATGAGAAAGTGTAAGCTGTTGAAATTTTGGGGGAAGCTAGTTTGGATTTTTGCATCGAAAAGTACCCAAAAGGGACATACATTTTGATCCATCAATCCCACCTTCAGAATTTTATTTAAAAGACATATGACGGGGTTTAAAAATTTGGGGGAAAAATTGAATTAAAGATAACAGCATTTTCCCATGAACTTTCCGAAGCCCCCTCGTATGTATAAGTTAGGTTATTGCAACATACATATAATAGCAAAAAATGAAATGCCACAGAGATTGAATTAAATATAATCATTAAAAGTGATGATGCAACAAATCTGTGCTTTTAACTTGGAGAGATGTTCATTTGTGTCAGTGGACAAAAAAGTAGGTATGGTATGATTTCATGTTGTTTAAAATTTATTTATATCTATGTAACATATGTTCCTATATATTAAGAAGAATCTAGAATAATACAATAAACTGCTAAAAGTAATTATTTCTATGTAGTTAGATTACTGGTAAATTTCACTTTATTCTTTTCCAATTACTTAGTATTTTTTCACAACACCTAAATGTATTAACTATAAAAACATGCAAAATATACAAAAGGCATAACAAATAAGTAAGAGAGAACCATTCCAATACAAAAACAGGCAGAAGATATGAATAAGCAACTGACAAAGTATAAATGATCAGTAAAATCACAAAGCTACTCCAGCCTTAAGTGACTGGTAACGAAGAGAATTTTACAAAGTTCTTGTTAGTGCCGTTGAATCAGCTCCAACTTATAGCGACCCTGTATAGGGTTTCCAAGGAGCGGCTGGTGAGTGTGATTCGCTGCTGACCTTGCGGTTAGCAGTCCAATGCTTATCCTACAATGTCACACCAGGATTCCAAGCTATAAATAGTAGGTTAAAAAAGAAAAAAAAATTTTTTTTCTTTTTTTTGTGAGACTGCTTTTGAGAAACTATATACAGTACATAGGTGATTATATCAACTCTCATAACTTCTCCGTCTTAAACACTGTAGCTAAGACAACTTGAGACACAAAAAAATTATGAAAGAACAAACTTGGTCATATTCAAATTTTAACCCATCTTTAGACAGAGATGGCTAATATTTAAGATTTCTCCCATTTTGATTCTTGAGACCTATTTGAGGTTCTAGTCACAAAGTGTAAGCTTTTTATTTTTACAAAGCTCGTTCCGGACATTTCAAATAACTTCTTAACTTTACTCTGTCATTCTCAGGCACTCCGAGAGACAATGACACAGCAGGCCATGCCTGTCTTTCCCAGTCTCACGTAGGAGAAGTAGGTGCACATGATCACTTACAGCACCACTGAACTTCAAGAACTGACATACATATGGCACCTAAGAAAGCTTTGTCTTCATGTGTAGATGATATTCTTCTCAACACTCACTTGATCTCCCAGAGCCTCTGAGAGCCAGAACTTCTCCCAGAACTTCTTAGAGCAGTAGCTTTCAAACGTTATTCACCATGACCACAGAATGCAATGCATGTTACACTGAGACCCAATACAGCCATCTATTCCCCATACACTTACATAGAGGCAAAAGTCTCACCGAATACTTAACCTTACTACAAGCTGGGTTCTATGAAGAAAAACGTGGCATCGGGATTGGAGGAAGACTCATCAACAACCTGCGATATGCAGATGATACAACCTTACTTGCAGAATGTGAAGAGGATTTACTTATGAAGATCAAAGAGCACAGCCTTTGATATGGATTACATCTCAATGTCAAGAAAACAAAAATCCTCACCACTGGACCAATAAACCACATTCTTATCAATGGAGAAAAGACTGACGTTGTCAAAGACTTCATTCTTTCTTGGATCAACTAATGGAAGCAGCAGTCAAGAGATCAAACGACGTATTGCATTAGGCAAATCTGCTGCACAAGACTTTTTTAAAGTGTTGAAGAGCAAGGTGCCATGGGCTGCCAAAAAAACCAATAAATCTGTCTTGGAAGAAGTGCAGCCAGAGTGCTCCTTGGAGGCCAAGATGGCCAAACTTCGTCTCTCATACTTTGGACATATTGTCAGGAAGGAATAGTCGCTAGAGAAGGATATCATACTTGGTAAGATGGAGGGTCAGAGAAAAACAGTTAGACCCCCAACGAGATGAACTGGCCAGGTGGCAGCATCGATGGATTCAAGTGTAGCAACAGTAGTGAGGTTGGCCCAGGATTGGACATTGTTTCGTTCTGCTGTGCATGGGGTCGCTATGAGTCGGTGCTGACTCGATGGCACATAACAACAACAACATGCTTACATTTCCCTATTTATTCTATTCTACTTCATTTAAATGCTGTCAATTAACTCCTTAAAGTTGGTTCTACAACTCACCAGCAAATTTCAGTCCACAATCTAGAAATACACTAATACAGAATAGTAGGCAGCTAGCCACTCACCATTCTATCTCCCACTGCCACCATCACCACTAAATTTATCCACTTTGCCAACTTGAAATACCCTTCTCACTCCTTTCCCCCATATAATTTCTACTAAGTCTTCCAAGACGACCTAAAATCTCAACTCAATCAGCCACACTCTCGAATTACTTTTCAAATCTGAGGGTAAGAGTTATTCTTACACTGATTTATAGCTATTGTTTATTATTTACAGCTGTTCGTAATGCTAAGGAGCTTTGGTAACATAGTGGTTACAAGTTGGGCTGCTAACCTCAAGGACAGCAGTTCGAAATTACCAGCAGTTCCGAAGCTTTCTACTCTCATAAAGATTTACAGCCTCGGAAACCCTATACAGGGTCGCTATGAGTTAGAATAGATTTCACAGCATATAAACAATACATTCGTAATGTCTCACATAGCAAGTAGATAGATTTTACTTCCTTTTAAGAACCTCAGCTTATATGTTCCCTCTAGAGAGTGTTCACAAGAAAATTCCATCTAGTGCAAGGTACTCTGGCAGAGACCTAAAGTCAAAAATGAGAAAAGTATTCTATAAATTGCTACAGAGCTTTAATTAAAGAATTGCTGAGCAACAACTTGATAAAAGGAGGACTAAATTCAGAGCTGTCAAAATTCCCAGAGAACAATAGTCCCCTAAAAAAAAAAAAAAAAAAAAAGGGCTTACCTGGATAGTGAGACCCGGGGCCATGATGTTTAAATCTTTCTGCAGTGCTTGCTTCAAGTTTTCATCTATTTGATCTGTTTTTTGAAGCAAAGAACATCAGCTCTCATGATACTCATTTCTTTTTTTTTTTTTTTTACTAGTAAAGCAAATGCAATCATTATTAGACCTAAAGGGTTCACAGCAGTATTCTTTTACAGAACTTAAATTGTTAAACTGCTGCAGATAAGTAAGGTAGGTAGGTAGATACACAGATATACACAAGGGTGCTTCAGAAAGTTTATGAAGAAAGGAAATGAAAAGATTATGGAATTTTCCCACACATTTTTTGAAGCCCCTTCATAGGATATCATTTATATTTACATACAATACATATTATTTTCTTTTGAGTAGTAGAAAGCCTGAGGAATTATCTTTAAAAAAAAAAAAAACTTATGGAGGAAAACGACAAGTAACCAGTCTACATTTATTCAATAAGGGAGAATTGGAGATTCTGGGTCTCTAGTATAATAATTAAGGACTTTTGTATCCAGATTCTTAGGAAAAAAGCAGATTCTTCAGTCAACTTTACTCACATTCCCAAATAAGTAAATTTCATTTCCATGGACCTCAGCTTAAAATTAGTTGGACTTTAAAAAGAAGTGGGGAAAGCTCATAGCAAGGTCTCTGATGTACATAAGAAAGGACAATAAGGATGCCACTTCACTGGTTCACTTGTATGTAGCTCATGAATTTTCTATCCATCTCAATGGTACCATCATTAAAATGGTGAACAGTGATGTGAGAAATCACAAGTTACATTTCCTTATATGTATCAAAGTGTGATAACCAGCGAGGAATCAATTGGTAGATCTCTAAATTGATTAGCCATGCCTAGGATTTCTCTTTCAGAAATTCACAAGGAATTCCAAGAGGGAGAAGTAAGCAATCAATAGCAACAACCCATTCGCTGGTCAGAGCTTTGACTATTAAAACTGAAGAGTAACTGGTAGGAAAAAACTGAATGTTGCAGGCCTAAGACTGTGATCGTGTTTGTAATGTTGGCCCTCGAATGGCAGCTGAAGATTTGGGTTTGGGAATAAACCCTAGCATTGGGAGCACTGATGAAAGCAGCTGAACACCTGTTTTCCTTCTAGAGTCTGGAATTTTGCTACATGACTAGTCCCCAGTAAAAAACCTGAGGCTCTGAGTCTCCAATGAGCTCCATGTTAGACAACATTTAAAAAGTGTTGTCACCACCCAGTGTGGGAGGAACTAAGTGTGTCCCATGTGACTGCACTGGGAGAGAACTCTTGTGTCGGGTTCCCTCTGGACTTCATCCCATGAGCCTTTTCCATTGGATAATTATGCTTTGTATCCTTTTGCTATAAAGTCTCAGGCGAAAATACTTTAGTAAGTCCTCAAACTTACTCTAGTAAGTCATCAAACCTGGGGATGGTCTTGAGAAGTCCGCACAAGGCATAATTCTTCATCACCATTTACATTTTGAGTTATCTATTAAACTGACTAATAACCATGGGATCACAGTACAACCAGAATATTGTCCACAAGTTAATGAAGTTTTTCCAATTTCTACTAACGTCATTTCAGAAAATATCCATTCTTAAAGTATCTAACCTATTCACTTAGTCTTAAAAATTTTTTTAACTTAAAACAAAAAATATTTTAAAGACAATTACTCAAGTATAAAATCAGAAGCAAGCTCATATGATGTAGGGTTTACTAATGTTACTGTCGCATCCACGGACAAGCTGAACAAGATTTCCACTTACCAAACAATTCAATGTAAACTTCTTGAAGTGTGTGCGCACTGCAAAACTGGTTCAATTCATGGTGGATTTTATTAAAGATTAATGTCTTATCATAATCTGCAGTGTAGTTCCTCACGATATCAAACACTGAAGGAAAGGGACAATCTGTGTTTATTTGACACAAAACTGACCAAGGTATCTTTAAATTCGGATAAAAGTTTTAGTAAAATAATATACACAAAGAAACATGTACTCAAACAGCAAAAAATAAAACACAAAACTTCATTGTGGTCCTTATGCTCAAATTTTCCAAAGATTTTCAGTATTTTAATACCAACGGGCAAACTTTGAATTCCATACTAAGTCAAGAATAGACTATATCACTTTGGAGGTAACAGGGACCAGCTGAAGTTTTCAAGCAAGGGCATGGTAATCAGGTTTGAATGTTAACAGTTACATAATGAGATTTGTACTCTGGCAGCAATGTGAAGATGAATTGAGAGGCACAGCGATTACTGGCAGAGAAACTCTTAAGGTAATTAAAGCAAAAGGTTAGCTACAAGGTAAAGATGGCCTGAACTAACTGAGGAATCATGGGAATAAGAGTGAGACAGATGCAAAAGACTATTTTTTAAAAGGCAGGGTTTTTTTAATATACAAAAATTTTTAATATAAAAAATGTACAATTTTGGTATAAGCTGTGAAGAGCCAGGAACATAGGAGAAATCCATTTAAAAAAGCAATTTGAAAAGGCTGTAACAAAGGATACAGATTAGAAGAGAAAGAAGCTTACATGTACTGGTGGTGGTGGTATGCCGTGCAGTCAGCTGTGACTCACAGCGACCCTGCATAGGGTTTTCTAAGGCTGTAAATCTTTACGGAAGCAGCCCAATTCACAACCACTACACTACAAAGACTAGGCTTTGTATTTTGCAATTTAAAAATACCAGCACTTAATCCTCACAAACATTCACAAATTTACTATTAAGACCATGAGAATCAGAGAATTTCTGAAATGTGTCAGGTAGAATATTCTATACTCCAGATACTGTCTGCTTTCTGCCTTTAGACCCAAGTTCTTGCTCCACTGGCCTTCCCATGTAGATTACTTGACACAATGACTCATTTGCTTGGTCATCTTCCAAATGAACTGGTGATCCGATTGCTTTCTATAGATCTCTGGCTGGAGAACCATGACTCTCTTCCCTTTTGATATCCTTCATTCCAATGATTTGTGTGATGAAGTGATTTCCTTTATGTGGCCTTTTCCTTTGATTGTCTGGAAAAACAGCTTGAGATTTTTTTTCCCCTTAAGCCCTGGGGAGTTACCTTCATCTTTGTTTTGCACCCCAGAGAGTTTATTACTTTTGTCCAGGTTGACTGACATTTCCTGGGGAAGTTGCAAACTTGGTTTGATACTTTCTCTGATCCTGGGCTGCAGCCTGAGCTAAGACTAGTATGTACCTTACTGCGACTGGTCAGTAGACTATGCAGATGAGCCATGCCTATTATGCAAATAGAGGGGACTAGTAAATTTAAGAGTGGCTCTGGGCCACACCTGAAAGTAGCAGAGTCCGTGTATATAAGTAGCCAGCCCAAAAGAGGTTTGTCAGACAGAAAGAAACAAGAAAAGCATCAAGAAGCAGCAGATGGAAAGAGGAGGCCAAGAAACCCCTAAAAGAGGTGTTAATACTGGCCAACGGCTCTAACACTAAAGACAGTGAGAGGCCTGAAATGGGTCCAGGGGCAGAGCCAATAGTGACTGACAGCAAGGCTAAGAGGAGCCTGTACTCAGGGACGAAGAGGAACTGAAAGAGCTGTCCTGAGTGAAGAAGGATGACTGTGTACAGGCTTCCTAGTACTGACTCCAGAGTTGCAGCCTACTGATCTTGAACCTGAGTTGTAATCTATATTCCCTAATATATCATTTAATGGTAAGCTGTTGTTGTTGTTAAGTGCCATAGAGTAAGTTCCGACCCACAGTGACCCTGTATAGGGTTTCCAAGGAGCAGCTGGTGAGCTTGAACCACCGACCTTACAGTTCAAACGACTTTGCAGTCTGATGCATTAGCCCACAGCACCACACCAGGGCTCCTTAATGTTAAGTGGCTGGCTGTGCGCCGTGGACTCGGTTCCAACTCACAGTGACCCTGTACAAGGTTTCCGAGGTTGTAAATCTTTATGGGAGCAGAACGCCTCATCTTTCTCCCACAGAACAGCTGGTAGTTTCAAACTGTTGACCTTGCGGTTCGCAGCCTGATTCGTAACCACTACGCTACCAGAGCTCCTTTAATGTTAAGTATGGTCTGTAAATTCTGTGTAGTCCTTGCAACAGAAATCAAAAACAAAAAGTAGAGACCGGTGTATGAGGGATGGCTGAAAAGCTTTAAAGAAATAAGTGTTTTATTTTAATTGTGTCTCTTTCCATCTCCATGGGTTTCCATCTTTTATCAAAAAAAAAGAAAGAAAAAAAGCAGTTTTCCCTGTACTGAGGCTCACAGGCTATTTTCCAAGTCAGAGTACATACCAACTAGAAAAGACTTCTCCATGGGGACAAAAATCAATGTGGCCACAAGAAATCGGTGAACTACATATTTTTACAATATAAGGAAATAATTTATCATCCTGACTGGATAAAATGCTAGCTTCCAATCATAGAAAAATCAATTATCTTCTTGCTCTTAGAAGCTACTCTACTCAGAAAGGAGCAACACACCATAAAGTTGCAGAAAACAACGTTATCCAGATTATTCCAGTGACTATTATATTTGTTGTTGTTAAGTGCCTTCGAGTCGGAGCCGACCCATAGCGACCCTGTACAGGGTTTCCGAGGGTGTAAATCCTTACGGGAGTAGAAAGCCTCATCTTTCTCCCGCAGAGCGGCTGGTAGTTTCGAACCACTGACCTTAAGGTTCGCAGCCCGATTCGTAACCACTACGCTACCAGAGCTCAAAAGTCACTGATGCATGAAACTTTAATAATACCCAAACACGCCAGCTGCTCCCTTGGAAATCCTGTATAGAGTCACTCTGGGTTGGAATCGATTCGATGGAACTTAACAAAAACAGTAACAATTCCTGAAGGAATATTTCAAATCCTATATCTACTGCTGATAACCATTTAAAGAACAGAAAAGATGGGTACCATACCTGCATAAGGAGCCAACATATTAACCACTTCTATTCGGTCAATATAGATCATGACCCCACCACTAAAAACAAAGAAACAGAAGTCATGTAAGTCAAATACAAGCCTAAAATAATCCCAATTCTATATACCCATAAACCACACAACAGAAATTTATAAGGAAAATCTAGAGACATATTACTTCCTGATTCAAATGACCCTTCCAGGGGGAGAGAAAGCACTCAACTATTCTTTCTATACACACTCACCTAGCTCTTCTTAATCAAAGGCCCACCTCCTTAACAGTTATGCTGAAACCACCTTACCTGAGGACCGTACTCTAGCCCCTTTTCCACCAAGGAACTAGATAAAGCACAGAGGTTCCCAAGACATACAGAGGGCAGTCACAAGTTGGAAATTCTTTTGACATTCCTTACTCTAACAATTCACCAGGATTTAAAATCTAGTTCTGGTCTGTATTTATTCTAATATGAAAAAAATAATTTGCCCCAACCCTTCATGTAAAACCGACATTACAGAAAGACAGTTCTTGTTGACAGCTTCCTTTGATTTCCTGAACTACCAGCCCCTATTCTGAATGGCACATGTACCTTAATTTAAGTCACATGAAGTCAGAGATTCTCAGACTCTATAATGAAGTCTTCATACTGATTTAACATGAATTCTTTTTCCCGGTAATGTATGGTAACCTCTGCTCACTGAATAAAATCTGGGAAACTTAGAAAGGTGTGTAGATGAAAATAAAAATTACCCAAAATTCCACCAGCTTCCAACTTAAGTCTTCTCTAATGGGAAACCATTGTTGGGGGCCTCAGATCCCCAACAAAATGGATAGACAAAATTGCAGCAATAATGGACTAAAATATAACAATTGTGAGAATGGTACAGGACTGGGCAGTGTTTAGTTCTGTTGCACATAGGTTTGCTATGAGTCAAAACTGACTCAATGGTACCTAACACTAACAATGAGAAACCATGAAAGTTACCAGTAGACCTAGGAAAAATTTGATAAAATAATACATGACCTTAAAACAAAGTTAGTTTGCTCCTTTTTAAAAAGCATTTCTGTCCCTCTATAGATGTCAAACGGAGTCCTGATGCGGCGCTGCAGGATAATACACTAGACCACAGGGGCAGTGTGAACAGCAAGGTCGGCAATTCAAACCTACCGGCCCCTCCTCAAAAACTCTATATAGGGTTGATATGGGTTGGAACTGGTTCAATGGCACTTAACAACCAAGATGTTAAAGGAGCCCTGGTAGCATAGTGGGTTACAAGCTGGGCCGCTAGCCACAAGATCAGCTGTTCAAATCTACCAGTGGCTCCACAGGAAAAAGATGAGGCTTTCTGCTCCCAGAGATTTACAGTCTTGGAAACCTATACAGGGTCACTGTGAGTTGGAATTGACTCAATAGCAACCACCAGCACCACCAGAGATGTCAAAGGCTTTAATATTCTATTTAGGACATTTAAAAAATACTCTGAACTTCACGTTTCTCTTGATACAATTCAAAGTACTGAGTATATTCTAGAAATAATCAGGGCCATGCTTGCCATTCTCTGCCTAACACTCTTTAGGGTAGTGATCCCCAGAGTGAGGTCCATGGACCAGCAGTATCAGAAGCACCTGAGATCTTTTGTAAAAAATGACAATTCTTGGGCTTCACTTCAGACTACTGAATGAGAAACTCTACATATGGGAAGAGGGCAGGATAATTTAATTTTAAAACTAGTTTTTATTGAGTACCTACTCTGGGCCAAGTAATAGGTATGCACTTTATGTTTGCTAAATCTAATCCTTACAATAACTGTGCAGAATAGGTCTTATTATGTCATTTTACAAGTGAGGAAACTAAACTTGGAACAGTCATAAATCAGAGGCAGCAGCGCTGACATGTTATGTCAGGTTTACTGGCCCTAAAGCTCACACTTTTTTTGGATAGTACCAAAATGGTTCTTAATGTGGAAAGCTCCCAGAGCCTTTGATCAAATAATGCTCAGAAGAGAAATCACCCTGGGTTACTGTCATGTCTGTTTGATAGATGTCTGAGTGATCATAGCTTTATGAACAGAAACTCCATTTGAACTAAAGGAAGGTTGGCCAGGAAGAGGAAAGCTTACCTAGTTCCACAAGGCACGTTTTTAACTTCATCAGTCTGTAGTGTTGTCTGAGGAGAAAGAAAACATATCATCAATACTCAGAACACGTATCTTCAAAGAACTACTGAACCCCAGGCAAGTGCTGGAGGGATGCTGAGAAGCATCCAGGAGAGCTCCATGATAATTTCCGTCTACAAGAGTAACTACCACAGGAATCATTTTTTTTTTTTTTTTTTGTATCCTAGTAGAAACAAAAAATTTGAGACAAACTGTTTTACAGCTAATGTCTGAATTAAATTGTACTAGACAAGAGTTCCAACGCTAATAAGTAGAAAACTATTTTTCCAGAGTCCATATTTGTCTGGAGCTGGCCTGGGAATGTAAGTAAACTAGAGTTTACTCAAGGGGATACTACAGCTCGCACTGGCACTCTGAACTTTGATTCTACTGCTCATGTTACTGTTTACACTGAAGATAAAAGATAACTATTATGTATATTCCAGCAGGCTATGACTCAAAGGTGCCCCTGAACTCAACAGTAATCTTTCTTCTTTAACGCTATAGTCATTATTTTAGTTCAAGCCCTAGTAATCTCTCAGATAGATTACCCATTTTCTTTCCAATGGAAGTACCTGCAACTGCACTGCTTCGCTCTGGTTGGTGGTTATGTACCGTGGAGTCGATTCTGACTCACAGTGACCCTGTACAGGTTTCTGAGGCTGTAAATCGTTACCGGAGCAGAAAGCCTCATATTTCTCCTGCAGAACAACTGGTAGTCTCCAACTGCTGACCCTGAGGTTAGCGTCCCGATTCAAACCAATAATCTCCCACGATTGTCCAGCTTGTCCAGCCCATGTCATACTTTGTTCTGGCTCAGGCTGACTCCCTACTGTACTCTATGGCCTTTGATAGTTACCTCCAATAGCAACTAATGAGTATATTCTAGACATATACCAGTTTACTTAACCTCACAGTTACAAACTATCTTATGGAATACAAATGAAAAAGGAAACCAAGTTCCTGTTTGCCAGGAGCTCACAATCCAAGACAGAGAGAAAATCTTTACAAAGTAAGTAACCCATCAACAGGTACACAGCAAAGTAACACTGAGCTGTTACATGAGGTAAAACAGTAGTTTGCAAAATTCTCTGAGGTGAAGAATAGGGGGACTTCAAAAAGCTCAGGAAAAATTCCATGATCTTTGAATTTCATTTTCCCACGACATTTCTGAAGTCCCTCATAAATATAAGCCAGGTCTACCAAAAATCAAGCTAAATTCATTGCCACTGAGTAGATTCTGCCTCATAGCAATCCTACAGGACAAGAGCAGAACTGTTTCATAAGGTTTCCAGGTTGTATGTTTATAGCAGACTGCCACATCTTTCTTTCTCCCATGAGGCTGCTGGGTGGGTTTGAACTGCTGACCTTCTGCTTAGCAATCAAGCACTCACCCACTGGTCAAGAAAGGGAGAAAAAAGACCTAACAGTTGAGGCAGAGCAACATCTGAAGTTCAATAAATGAATTTTCCAGACACACAAAGGTGAGGACTGTGTACAGGAGGCAAGAAGCTGACCGACAGACTTGCCTACAGCAGAAAAGGCACTTGGGTGAGAGGTGAGGTTCTCCAAGGAGAACATGGTGGTATCAAACAGAGGGAAACCTGAATGTTGGCTGTGGAGTTTGGGCTTTTCCTTACACAGTCCCATGAACCTTTTAATTAATATGCTCTTTACTAAGTTCCCCTGCAAATATGTGATGCGGTTCTTGTTATCCATCATAACTGTAAGTAACAAAACCAACTGGAAAGCTCAAGTTCGAGTTTATTCAGGTTCATTTAGTAAAGGCCATGGAAATGAAAAGCTGTCAACACAGAAGCCTTAACAGAGGAAGGATTTGGTAACTGGTTGAACACAAAATTCCAGGAAAGGAAAGACTAAGATGTAACCCTAGGGATGATATGAGTGAAGTGAGATGGGGAAATGAACAGATGAATTCAACTGATTTTATTTCCTTCAAAACATTAACCATATTGAATTTCCATACCCCATAGCAGCTTTAAATAAAATATATTCCTATTTAAACTGAAAGTAATTCTCTGGTCAATTTTTGAACCTAGAACTAGAAAAGAGTTCAAATGTTAATTACCATTTTAATGGTCAGAGCCCAAGTAGCACAGTGGTTAAGCACTCAGCTGAGAACCAAGCGGTCTGTAGTTTGAAACCACCATCTACTAGCAGTCTGCTTTTGTAAAAATTTAATGCCTTGAAAACTCTATGGGGTAGTTCTACTTTGTCCTATAGGGTCTTGAATATGAATCAACATAACCGCAGAGTGAGTTTGCTTTGTTTTTTTTTAAATCTCCATGTACTGTTCTACCTTTTTTAACCTTATGGTAAATGTATTTCCCCCGCATTAACAGAATATGAATTTTGAAAGCAAATCTTTGGCTATTTTACGTACGCTTCACAGGCTGAAGGTGTCATGTCATTTCTCTGAGCAATAGTCTTTTCTCTTGCATGACATACAGGATTTCACATTTTCAAAGGCGCTTCACATGTTCCTTCCGATTGCCATGTTTGCTAAACCATATTAAACTGTGTCTTTGAATGTGCCTCAAAGTTCCTAAAAAATTAATTTAGTCTTATCTGCTTAAGAACAGTGTTTTAAAGGCATTTTAGTATATTCCTTCCTAGAATATTATTTCACATATAAAATGAGAAAGAAAATTCCTATTTGGTCTCACTGGGCTTAACATTTCTTTTTATTTTTGATAATGCAAAGTGTATTATAGCTTACACAGAAACGTTTACACTACAAATTTTATTTGCATCTTTAGCCAATGAACTTATCAGAGTTTACACATATAGAGTGTCCTGGTGTAGCGCTGTGGGTTAATGCATTGGACTACAAGGTCTGTGGTTCAAGCTCACCAGCTACTCCTTGGAAACCCTATACAGATTCACTAGGAGAGAGAACCAACTCAGCAGCACAAAACAACAATTACATATATGCTTTATATTATAGTTATTATATACTTAACACACAAGGGGGCTTCAAAATTCATGGAAAAATGTAATGAAAAGACAATTGAATTTTCTACAAACTTCTGGAAGTCCGCTTGTATCTATATAAGATATATAGTATATAGCTATTAAACTTTTAAATCTGTTTCACATTTATTGTGTCTATCTCCTTTATATATCTGCATGAGTATGACTTCACATAGTATATTTTAAGAAAACAAAGTGAAATGACTGGCTTTGAATGCTATCTCCCAAAGTTCCTACTAATCTTTAATGCTCTGATGCTGCTAACATTTATCCAAGCTGTTTGTTTGGGTTGTTGGGAAGGTGAGATCATGTCATTAAAATCTCTTCTTTCACAAAGGAAAAACTTAAGTCTACAATAGTTAAAATTTGCCAAACATCATATAAACTGTTGGTGGCAGAAACAGGACAAGAATCTAAGTCACCAGATCTCTAGCATGTTCACTATATTACACTTCCTAAGAAATTATTAGCTCAATTTAACAATTTTCACAGTAAGTGGAAAAAGAAAAATAAAGGCACAATGCCTATCTCCAAGCCTCCAAAAGCATGAAGACTTTCTTGAAAGAAAATAGACAAAATTGTGAAAAAAAAAAAAAAACAACTCCAAACAGTAGAAGACAATGTTATTAAAAAAAATAAGAACATGGGCCAAAACTTACAATACAAACTTTAACAGCTATAGATGACGAGAGATTTGAGATGTACTTTAATGAGTCTGTCAAGATTTCGAAAGGGAAAAAGGGAAGGAATGCAGGGAGAGATTGTGAGAGAAGGGTTGCGCATGAACCAAGGCAACAGTGAATAAATACACATAAGAAAAGACATGGAAATCAATCTGATCGAAGCCATCTAGAAGAGGATGACAGACATACCTCAGAGAGATTATGGGTTCAGTTCTAGACCACTGTAATGAAATGAGTATCACAAAACAACAAGTCAACACAAATTTTTGGGTTTCCCAGTTGCACAGAAAAGTTATGTTTATATTATACTGCAGTCTATTAAGTGTGTCTTTTAAAAAACAATTTTTAAAAAAAATTTATGGACTACTTTATGGCCAAAATTGCTAACTATTATCTGAACCTTCAGCAAGACAGAATCTTTTGTGCTGGTGGAGGGTCTCATCTTGATGTGGGCAGCTGCTAACAGATCAGGGTGGTGGCTGCTGAAGGTTGGGGTAGCTGTGGCAATTTCTTAAAATAAGACAGTGAAGTCTGCCACATGAACTGATTCCTTTTACTTGAATAGTTTAGGCTACTACAGGGTTATTAATTGGCCTAATTTCTATATTGTCCTGTCTCAGGAATAATGAAGCCCAACTAGAGGGAAAGAGCTAGGGAAATACTTGGCTGATGGAACAGTCAAGACACACACACAACATTTATAGATTAAGTTCTCCATTGTATACAGGCATGGTTCGTGGCACCCCAAAGCAATGACAACAGCAACATCAGAGATCACTGATCACCAGTACAGATATAAAATTAATGAAAAAGCCGGAAATATCGTACGAATTACCAAAACTGACAAGAGAGACACGCAGTGAGCACATGCTGTTGGAAAAATGGCACTGATGAACTTGCTTAACACAGGGATGCTACAAACCTCCATTGGTAAAGACACGCAGTCTCTGCAGAGTACAATAAAGTAAGACATGTCTATAGAAGGAAACGTGGGGGATTTAAGTGTTCATAACAACACGCTTCCTTAGCAGGAAACAGAGACTTCAGTTACAAGGCTACGGGTATAAAGAGAGGCTAGTTGTGGCTCCATGGTAGAATTCTCACTTCCATGCAGGAAACCTGATTCCTGGCCAAAGCATCTCACATGCAGCCACTCCCCATGCTTCAGTGGAGGCTGCTGGTTTCTATGTTGATGAACAGGTTTCAGCAGTTTTCAAACTAAGGCAAACTAGAAAGAAAGGTCTGATGAACCCAGATCCCCAAAATCAGAAAAATGGTCCAATTCCATTGTGCACAGGGTTTCCATGGGTCAGGGGCAGACTCAAGAAGAGGCAGCTAGGTTTCTTGTGATACAATATTGAATAATTGTTATCAGGACTGACTGACTGATGTGAGGGTTGGAATTGTAAAGGTAGACGTTTTGTAGCAAAAGGAGGGGAGTGATTAACTTTGCAGTCTAGGAGCGGAGGTCCCTGGGACCATCAAGAGAGAAGAGCGGAAAGCGGAACCCTACCCAGAGAAACAGTGATGCCTGAGATGGAGGCAGAGACGATGATGTGGAGAGATGGAGCAGTTGGGGACTTTAGACACAGAGAGGGAGAGGGGCTGTGTGCTGACAACCGGGGGGCAGGCTTGCAGGTTATAGTTGGTTGATGATGCATGGAGGGATCGTAACCATGGCAAAGAAATGATATAGGATAGGATGAATGTAAAGCAAATGTTCTCCCATGTAAACTATCACATAATTCACAATAAAACATTTTTAAAAAATAAATGATGCTTTTGCCAAGTTCTGAAAACTAGCCACCAAATATTAAACAAGCATTTTCTGAATTCAAAGATTTATAACAAAAGTTTGCAAAAGTTGTTATTGGTAAGTACCATGGAGTTGGTTCCGACTCATAGTGACCCTGCACAGGGTTTCTGAGGCTGTAAATCTTTACAGGAGCAGAACTTCCTCATCTTTTTCCTGCAGAACTCCTGGTAGTTTCGAACTGCTGACCTTGAGGTTGGCAGCCCAACTTGTACAAGTAGTCACAGCCTAATACTATTCTGTCATTTTATGTTTAAAGGTATGTTTTTGTTAAGGGTCTCTCATGACCAAGATACTACTCCAGATGATCAGATACTCACTTCAAATATTCTAGATTGTTGTCAAAACACAACATTCAGAACTAAGTTTCCACATAAAATTGTGCTAATACACTAGGTGGAAAACTTGAGGCAGAAAACCTGTGTATGTATAGAAATTCAGAACCTCTAGGATAATAGCAAGGTCAGTTTGAACCACAAGGACCGCAGTTCAAACTCACCAGCCACTCCTCGGAAACCCTACATAGAGTCGCTCTGAGTTGGAACCAACTCAAAGGCACTTAACAACACAATGTTAACAGTAACTGAGGAGTCTGCCTCTATGGAAACCAAACAGTGGTTTGCATTTCTAGTTGTGTTCCCAATTCTTACTTTTATTTTGAAAGCATCAATAGTTACAAAAAATCTGCTGCAATCTACTATACAAATGGGAAAAAGTCAGGCTTTGCAAGCTGCCTAGCACACACTTTTTTATTCCATGCCAAGAGTGATGTAGTACAAAAGCCATATTATCTTGTGCTACGACAACTGTACTCTAATAAACTTTATAACTCCTACATTAACGTAAACACCACCATTTGCTTAAGTAGTAAGCAATTCCACGTCCACCCCCAAGTGTGGTTGGTAGCTGTTCCTGTTACACCTGTCTATCCAGAGTGGGGACTTGTCTAGGCATCACTCACCTGCACAGATCGGAATGAGGTAATGAAAGGCAACATGATATGATAGCCTGGTCCACTGGGGCTAGTTAGTAAAGCTCCTCCCCTGCAAAAAGAGGTTTCAATTTGACAAGATTATCAAGAGAGAAATGCTCTTTCCAAATCTAAAATGCTCTTAACAAATACTCACTCTTACTCATGCTACAGAACTATGAAAAGCCTTACCAACCTGAGTTCTTCAGTAACAACTTCTGCTCTCTAAAATTACTGCCACACCCCAAAAAAGGTGAAAAGATCAAATTAAACTGCTAGGTGTCACACCTTGTTCCAAAAGCTCACAGTTATTGTACTTTAATCATACATAACCAGAGTCAAAGCAAAGTGTTTAATCACTGGGTAGAATAAAAAACAAACTTTCAAGCAAGGAGAAAATTTCTGAGACCGAAGATTTTTAATCTACCTGTAAAGCAACTACAATACTGAAAGTATAAAGTCTGTGTATAAAAACAGGTAAAAAATTAGCACGAACAAGTGATGGGTAAGATTATAAATAGACAAGAAATAAGCATGGACTTGATTGCCAAAGTGATAAAGCTCACCTCAAAATTTATTTTTAGAAAAGGAGACATTTGGGGAGCAAATATTTTTAAATCCTCCTTTTCAGTTAATAAATGCATACAACTTACTTTTCTATCCGGAAAATAGAAACAGGTTGGAAAAGACTCAACAAATAATGAAAACATCAATATTTAAAGTTCACCCTAATTTTTTTGAGAGCCGTACCCAGAAAATATTCTTTCATTTGTTATGCTAAAATTGTTTCTAAGTAAAATTGTTTCTAAGACTGTTTCTAAGTGTCAAGATGGATCCAACAGCAGAAATGAGGTTTGGGGAATGATGTAGTTGTTGTTCAGAGCCACTGAGCCAGTTCCCTATGATAGTGGCCCTGTACAGAGCTTCCAAAGAGGGGATGGTGGGGTTCAATCATGGACCTGTGCTTATCCTATAACATCATAATAAAAATGATAGAATGATAATCAAAAAGTTGAAGTACTTTTTGTATATATCCTTACTCCAATGTCTCCACAAACTGCCTCTCTTACTAGTCTGTATCAAAATGGAATTAGTGGCAATTACACTAAAGGAGAGGATACACAAGCTCAACTTGAGATCAATACTTTTCAAACCATCTTGGTCCACAATCAACTTAAAAAGACAAAGTAAGGTGGGAGAAGGGTGGCTCATCAATACTGTTTGTGCACCTCAAAACGCAGGGATACTAGTGCCAGGGTCATCGAGGCTTTATAAACCAATCACTCAGGTCTTCCAAAGGAAAACTCCAGAAACCATACAAGGGCTGGGTTCTCTAAAACAGCATCTATAGCTACAAACTGAAAGCTTGTAAAGTTAACAGAACTTAATGACAACATCTAGCAAACTCTTTGGTTACAGGAAGAGTGACCACTTGCCTACCCTCCTCTTTCTGCTAGTAACTGAGAGCTGGACCCGAAGAAGAGCACCCCGGAGTCTAAGCTTCTGCAACAAAACACATGTAGGACGAAAACTGCCCAGCCCCTGGAGCGTCACCAGTCTGTCCCTTGAGCTGGAAGGAACTGATGCCCCGAGGGAGGGAAGCGCTCTCCAGGACTGCGTGGACGCCACTGTATAGGGAGTCCCCCTTGGACCTGCTCATGCCGCTCGCTGGCGCTCACCTGTAGTACACCGCCAGGTGCCCTTCTTCGATCTTGTGGATGGAGGCATACAGGAGGACGACCACCAGTCCCACTACTGTAACCACCAGAAGCCGGGCTTGAGTCATATTCATCCTTGTTCCTCCTGGATGAGGGAGGGAGGGAAGGACCCCATCCCCGTGAGTAACCGGCCCATCATCTCCTCCAAGGGTCACCCTCCCCCTCCGGAAACTAGGAGCCAGGCCGCAGGCAAAGGCAGGGAATCCGGTGTCCCTTTCCCCTCCGTTTCCCTTTCTCGCTGAGGTGGTTTCCCCGTTGCCAAACCCTCCGCCCAAGGTGGCCCGTGGGCCGTCCGCGGCCAGGTTAGGGTCATGACACTCCCCATTTCTATTGTCCTCCCGCCGGAAGGCTCTGAGCAGGGGCCCAGCTGCTGGTTCCGGAGGGAGGCCGACCCCCGGGCAGCGCCTCACCGATCAGTGACGCATCGCCCCCGCCTGCACGTGCAGTCTCCTCCCGGGCCGTACCAACCGCCGCCAACAACCGGCCCCGCCCACTCCCTCAGAACTGCGGCTGCGCAAGGACGCACCGCGACGCTGCCGCTGGCTCCACGACAAGAGACGGGGAGCGGACGGGACAAAATTCTTTTAGCCATGGACTACGCAATTTTTCTTATAAATATGTGTCTATAGTTCCTGGTGCATGGCTGATTATCTGCTCCAGAAGAGGGTGGAAGTACGCCATTCGGAGTAAGCAGGGATGCATAGGAAAGGAGAGGGCCTCTGAGACAAGGGACTGGCTGGTCAGTGTAGTCCCTCTCAGTGTGGTCGCTGTTCCTATTATTTATCCTATTGTAGTTTATATCGACCCTTACTGTGCATGCACGCGCTTCAGGCAGGGATCCTGCACTTCATGAGCCCCCAGACTTGTTGCAAGTCCTGGGGGGTATTCGATTAAACATGATCATTTGGTGGTGGTGGTGGTGTGCCGAGGAGTCGGAACCGACTCATAGCAACCCGAATAAGGTTTCCGAGGCTGTAATTCTTTACGGGAGCAGAAAGCCTCATCTTTCTCCCACAGAACAGCTGGCAGTTTCAAACTGCTGACCTGGAGTTTCGCAGCTCAACTCCGTAACCACTACACTACCAAAGCTACTTAAACATCATCATTTACTCATCATCAAATTACTGTTCGAGCATGTAAGCTGGCTTTATAAAGGGTAGTCAGAATTTGAAAGGAATGCCCTTTTTTAAAAAAATTTACATATTCTTCGTCTTTAAAGATTTTGCACCATGTGCATAAACTGTCTAATAAATAAAATGACAAGGTTAAAAAAAAAAAAAAAAGTAGACAAGGGATAGAAAGGGAATATGGGCAGCATGGAATCCCTGGGTGATGCAAATGTTAATCAAAAGGTTTGAAGTTCAAGTTCACCCAGAGATGCCCTGGAAGAAAGTCCTGCTGATATTCCAAAGAATCAGCCTCTAAAAACCCGTTGGAACAGTACTGATGGAGGTAGACTAGGTTTGGCTGGAAGGCCTTGTAACCTCTCAAATAGAGAAATATGGAAAAGCAATGCATGATTCAGCTAGTCTGTCAGAGCTAAGTAAGGTGGCTGACTGGAAATTGACTGCAGATAAGGAAGCCAACTGCTCAGGAAACAGCATGGAAATGGGAATAGGATGCATTCAAGTCCTCATTCAAGCAAGCTCTCCTACCTAGCTCACTCTACCTTGTTCCTTTAAGAATTCACTTCTTAACCTTTTGATATTCATTGACTTTTATTACCTAGGAATGTCTGGGATCTTGTCTATTACAAATAAATGGCATTTGCAGCAGAGCTTAGCTAGTTTAACTTTCACAAAAGCCCAAAGAATGAAAAATTAATTTGCTCCAGCCCCTAGCTTTTCTACATGCATTCTTGTAGTTTTTTTGTGTGTGTTTTTTTAAAACAATATTATTTGGATTAGAAATAGAGATGTAAAAATTCACACCTGCCATTCAAAAGAAATTTCTCAGTGTATGCATGGAAAGCATGATGTCACTGTGAGTCTATGCTGACTCCTTCTATCACGTGAATCAGGTTGTTCTAACATCACCCCAGCCACCATCAAAATAGTCCTGCCCTACAGCAAATCTTTTGCCAATTACTACAATATATTTTAGAAAATACATGATCATTTGCCACACACACACAAAAAAATACCCCACCATAACCCAATGCTTGGAAGGCTTCCAGTATTCAAACTCCCAGATTCAAATTCCCACTACCTACTGGCGCTGTGGGCTAATGCGTCAGACTGCAAAGTCGTTTGAACTGCAAGGCTGGTGGTTCAAGCTCACCAGCTGCTCCTTGGAAACCCTATACAGGGATGCTATGGGTCAGAACCAACTCAACAGCACTTAACAACAAAAACAACATTAATGGTGTCAGATCTTGCCATCTAGTTCAATATTTTTCAAGCAAGAAATACCAATAAATGTTTAGTGACTAAAATCTTCTAGAACTAGGAAAGCAAGTGATACTGCCTAGTATAACAGTTGATAGGGGCAAAATTTACATCTTTGGAGAGACCATGGCATCTGATGCCCAAAAAGATTTCAGAAGAACACAATCAATCCCTAAGGTTTCAAACTGGGTGACTGGGTAAAATGTCACCACTAGCAAAAATGGGGATGATATGAAGATCAATCAGTTTTAGGACATAAGATATGGACATAATTTTTAGACATGAATAGTGGTGACAGGGCATTTGAGAAGAAAAGACCATATTAAAGAAGTTACCTAATATTGTCTTCTCCATGGTCATGGTGGTGGTGGGCTGTAGAGTCGGTTCTGACTCACAGGGACCCTACATGGGGTTTCTAAGGCTGCAAATCTATATGGGAGTAGAAAACCTAATCATTCTCTCTCAGAGCAACTGGCAGTTTTGAACTGCTGAACTTGTGATTTACAGCCTGAGTCATAACCCATTATGCTGCCAGAGCTCGTCTTCTCCATGTTGTTGTTGTTGTTGTTAAGTGCCATAGAGTCAGCTCTGACCCATAGCGACCCTGTATAGGGTTTCCGAGGAGCAGCTGGTGAGCTTGAACTGCCAACCTTGCAGTTCAAACGGCTTTGCAGTCTGGCGCATTAAACCACAGCACCACACCAGGACTCCCGTCTTCTCCACAGTCCTGTTTAATTCCTAAGGAAACTACAGTGAGAGTCTATATGTTATTCTGTACTTCGATTCCACTTCCTTCAGCTTTCACATTTCCCAAATCATATTCAATTGTTCCCTTATAACCCGCTTTTAATGACTGGAGATTCAGACAGTAATTTAAAAATTATTTAATACACAAAGTGAAAAACTGCCTAGAATACAAAAGCATTTCACATTTTTAAAACACAACAACAAACAATACCTTCTAAATTAACAGATATAGATCCACAGTCTGAAACCTTTCGGGCCAGATGTTTCAGAATTCTGAAATTCTCATTTTTTAAAGGGTAGTTAATTCAGTGTATATATCATAGTACAGCATACCATATACTGCATAAGCCCCCAGCAGGGTCTGAGGCAGCATCCCTTAAAATCAAACCATTACTATTTCTGCAGCAAAATAAATGGGTGTTCACACTAAATGGGATATGGATATTCAATGTCAGTTCACATAAGATTCCCAAGCAAATGAGCTGTCAAAAAGTCTAGGGAAAAAACTGTAGTTTTCATACCTTTGTATATTTTGGAATTACAGATCAAGAAGTGAAGATCTTATAAATTTGTATGAGAATACATGAAAGATTCTTTAAACAAATGACCCATTTTTACAAATGAAAAACCAGATAAACTTTCAAATACATTATAAATTAACAGATGACATCTCTAATATTATTAAATGTACATTTTAAATACATATACACATAGCACACTTCTTAACGAAATGTATGAGCCAATGGTATTAAAGGCACAGATGAACAATCCCCACTGGAGGAAAGGGGCAGGGCCACACTGCAGTAAAGTTGAAAATGGAACTAAGCCAACTCCTTATGATGCCAGGAAGAACATCTGTTGAGTGTAACACAAGTTAAACAAGTCCATTGACTTTTTATGAAACTTTATCTATTTAGAGGTTATAATCACTGATAAACCAAAACATTGCACTTGTAAAATCATGAGTAGCTTCTGCTCCCAGTCATTTCTTCCATGAATGGTGTATGAAGAATAGTTTCATGGAGTAAAATCGAATTCCAACATATGCGGAGACCACTTCCATGTTTGGGGCAGTGAACAAGTGACTAGTCATTCTGTTAACCAACTCCAGTCAAGACTCTAAAACCAGGCATTAAAAAAATGACAAGAAGATGATGAATATTAGTGACAGGTATTCACTTTTCAAGGTTTTCTGTATGCTTGAACAAAAATTGCAAAATAAAAAAATTTAAGTTACAATTAGAGTTCAGGTTACCTTATTTTCTGTTAATTTAAACATTTTAAAGAGTTCTCACAAATACTTGATGCAAATAATTATTCTTAGTGAAAAAGGAACTGCAAAAGGTGACAACGGAACCACATTTACTAAAAGCTAACTCAGTGAGCATTTGATTATAGCTTCTCTAAGATGATAGTGGGTAAGTTCTAACAAATCAATAATGTTGCTAACTGCTGTCAAGTAGATTCCAAATCATAGCAACCTTGTATAGAGTTTCCTAGGAGCACCTGGTGAGTTTGAACTGCTGATCTTGTGGTTCAAACTGACCTTGTGATCCAGTGCTTTATCCTAAAGCACCACACCAGGACTCCAAATCAAGAATAGTTCATATTAACCAAGCTTTAATATAAGCACTTCTATTAATTACAACTTCATTTTACATGCAACAGTTAACTATGTTTGAATTATAGTCAATTCCCACCTGTCTTATTGGAGAAAACAGATTGCTAAAGCAAAACAAAACAAAAAAGCTTCTATTTCACTAGTCACATAGCAAAGAAAGCTAATCACTCATTTAATTTGACCAAAAATGCCACCATAGGAGTACTGGTGTGGCGTCCTAGGATAAGTACTCAACTTCAAGGTCAGTTTAAACTGCAAGGTTGGCAGTTGAAACCCACCAGCCACTCTTTGGAAACCCTATACAGGGTCGCTATGAGTCAAAACTGACTCAACGGCACTTAAGAACAACAATCCTAGTATATTCCTGAGTACCAGATGGGGATTTGAGGTCTAGGACATTTCCTAAATGCTTTTTTGTCTGATTATTTCTATTCCTTATATATATATCCTTATGGCAGATAAGACTAGCATGGGAAGTTGAAACTTTTTGCACTTTATATACCTAAAACACAAAACCATATCTCCACAAAACTTACCATCATACTACTGCCCTGATCCTCATTTGCTTCATGAATAATAGTGCTTAAATGGCCAAGACAGTTCAAATTTTCTTCTATCATTTGTGCTAAAGTCTCCCTGTAGGATGAAAGATCAAAACCTTTTGAAATTCAACAAAGAAACATGGATTTCCTCTACTTTCTGGTCTTCCAGGTCCTTCTGACAATCCAGCACCCAAGTGCTGCAGTCTCCCTTTCCTATTACCATCCCGCCCAGCCCCATCCAAAGGCAGAGACTGCTTAGTACTCTAAGCAGCTGCCTATGACCAGCTCTAATGATGAGTCTAAAATCAATTCAATCTGGTTTTCCTCTAAAATGTAAGTGTTGCACTTACGTACCACCTTTTCTTTCCCTGAAAATGCTAACTGGGGAAGAATATTTCACCCCTTAAAGACACCAGCATGCATACTTCACAGACATACTAGTGGAGAAGATAAGATTGGAGCACACAGCCTGTTCTGCAGAGATCAGGGAGGGTTAACGAGCTCTGGTTGGAAATTTCACATGGTAGCAACGACAAGGAAAGCAAGCAAGCTGATTTTTGAGAACAGCAGAAGGAAACAGTGTGACAAGGGAGCTGGCCAGAACCAAGAAATATCCCTGGAAGTTTGTATTTTATAGGAGACCCTGATTCTGGTTTCCACCTTCCATAATTTCCTCCTCTTCCATATGGCCTCTACCCTCTTCCTTTACAAACCCTTGGTCTCTACTGTAATTATTTGTAGGCTATGGATGGTAACCACTGTCAGCTTTGAACTAAATTCTGATTCAGTGCTTACTCAACAGATGGAAAAACTGAGACCAACAGTTCCCAGTACTCCTTCTTAGTGATGGAGGACTGCAAGCACATTATAATTGAGATCAGTTTTCCTTTAAAATGGATTCCTACTAAAAAATGTATTTGAAATTCCTGTCAAATATACTTTAGCAAACAACCACACCTCATTTAGAAATTACTTGTATAGAGGTGACATTTGCAACCATTAGCATTTCCTAACAAACCTAAATGCCTTTCATGAAAGCAAGAAAGGTTAGTTAAATTTTATTTAATTCAACTCTGATTAATGGAGGAGTCCCTAAAGTATACATAGTTGATTACTGCCTATACTATAGCTATAGATGTATTTTATTGGGCCAAATCTATAATGACCCCAAGATGCACCCTAGAACTTGCTTCCTTTAAAAAAATAAAATACCTGAGATCAGCTTGCTTTCCTGCCATGTGCTTTTCTCTCATAAAAGTAGAGGACAGAATGTACAACTGCGTGATCTCCTGAGCAGCGGTGTAACATGGCTGCACTTCTGCAAAACTAAGTGTGGGCAGAGCTTCCAGGAAATGCTGGCACTGCAGAGGTCTCCAGGAGATGGGAGAAAAGCGACAACACACAAGCTAGCATAGAGCCACTGGCTCTGGAAACGGCACATGTTATGCTAAGAAAATAATAGAAAAGGATAGTCATTCCGTTTTCAGCAAGAGAATAGGAATTAATAAAATACAGGGCTTCAAACTTGAGTTCTTATTTGCAAAACTGATTTAAGGCACTGAGAAAACATCTAATTTTAGAAATACTGAGTTATAAAATACAATAGATTTAACTCAACAATTAATTAGAGGAGTAATTAAGGACCTCAAAATGATAAATGCAAAAAGGGAGCATAATGGAAGAAATAGTGTTTGGGTAAAAGAACTGATAAGCCAATGAAAGAGCAAGAACTTAGAACTTGGCTTGACATTTGCTGAATGTTTACTTCCCAAGTACTTTGCATATATTATCTCACCCAATTTTCACAGCAGTTTTATGAGATATTCCCATTTTACAGATGGGGAAATGAAAACATTTAAAAAGTCAAGTAAACTGCCCAAGGTTATTACAAAGGATGGTCAGGATTCACATACGAGGAGGTGCCTTTGAATTCCATTTCTCCACAAAGTTTTTGAAGTCCCCTCATGTACCAGAGCCTGTAAGGCACTGAAGACTATACTTTAACAACTATGCCTACTGCCTTGTTCCTACTGCGATTGCAAACACAACTGCCTATTGTTACAAAGTGAACCCACCCATCTTGAGGAGTTACCACGCATGACAGAGGATGTTCCCGTTCTACTGAAGATGGAGGCAGCCAAGTTGATGCCTGAGGAGTTACTGCACCTTCTAGACTGGATCCTACTAGGGACCGAGCAGAACTCTGTGTCTAGAATTGAAAAGAAAATGAAAACATTATAGGTAAGCATCTCTGCTAAGTCATACAATTTCCTATCACACCCAGAAGACTTACATATTTGTCACTACTTACTTGCATAACCAGAGTATTTCTGTATAAAACTATACCTACCCTTTAAACACCACCATTAGCCAGACTATCTACCCCTCTAATACCACTTTTGTTAGAAGTGGAAAAAACAAACAAAGGGTTGCTTTCATTAACTAGTCAGGTACATCTACCTCCAAGCTGGGTTAGGATACCACAGTGGCCTGGGGCTGGAAAAAGTATAAAAACAGATGGGAACAGAGAGTGATAATGAAGCATGAGTCTTGCATCTCAATTGCTAGTCAATCATCAAGCCAACAAAAATGTACATGCTTTGAAGAACCCAAATCATGCTGAAAAAAATTCCCTTTTCAGGGAACAACAGCCAGTTCGTGTCATAGTAACACATTCATTCATCATTACTTACACAGGCAATTTTAAGGAGGTGCCATATTTCTTTCTGCCTCTTTCCCTGCATAAACATGACAGTATTGTCAGCTTCTTTGATGTTACTGAGGGCCACTTCCACCTTGGGTAGTAGATCGATAATCTTCTGCTTACAGCCCAACAACTTGCTAAGAGAGAGTAAGTCAATGTTAGATATTTACACAATTCCCAAGACTATAAACCATTTTCCCAAACCCACCCACTATCAGCCTCAGAATTAATGACTAACTTCCAAAACAATGAACACAAAGCAGGACATAAAAATACTAGATGGGAAAATGCCATTAACTTTCTAAAGCCTGCTCGTACATGCAGCTGAGGCCAAACTGGCCAAAGCACTGTCAGGACTCATCTTAAGCCGAATATATACAAAGAGGGGTAGGAATGTTGCAAGGAACAAAATAAAGGTACCCTGGCTTTTCAACAGGAAATGAAACCATTTTCTACCTGAGATGACCAAACAGCTCCTTGAGAACACGGTCCTGACTCTGCACAGTGTGCACAATGATCTTCACCATCTCCGTGCTGTCGCTGTAGGAGTGATCTACAAAAGAGCCCAGAGACTGCAGATAACCACTCTTTGGCATGATCATATCCATCCCCTCCAAAAAAAAGTCCTAAAAACTGAACACTAGTTTTAACTTTAAGACCTCTAAGTAGGGAAAACAGTTTGTGATCAATTGCTAACCTAAAGGTTGGCAGTTTAAATCCGCCTATTTACTGCATGGTATGGCGCTGTAGGATCAGCACTGGACTGTGAACAACAAGGTCAGCAATTCAAACTCACCAGCCACTTTTCGGAAACCCTATACAACAGGGTCACTATGAGTCAGAATCAACTCGACAGCACTTAATAACAACAACAAAATGACTCCATGGAAGAAAAAACCTGGTGATCTGTTTGCAGTAAGATTATAGCCAAGAAAATCCAATGGAGCAGTTCTATTCTGTAAAGCCTGAGGTAGCTTTATGTAAGAATTGAGTTGATGTCACACAATAACAACAACCATATAAAGATAAAATATTTATGTTACATATCTATACATAAACTATAATTACATATAGTAAAACTGTTTTCACTGACTCAAAGGAGGTCCTTGTCCCAAGTTTGTTGTTTTGAATTTCATGTTTATCCACCTGTTTACAGTCCATGAAAACACTGAAAAAGGCTGGCTGATTGATACCAAATCTAATGGTCAGCAACTCGAAACTACCAGCTGTTTCGCGGGAGAAGCATGAGGTTTTCTGCTCTCGTAAAGATTTACAGCCTCGGAAACCCTGTACAGGGTCGCTATGAGTCGGAACTGACTCTACAGCACATAACAACAACAACAATGTGTTAACAAAGAGACTTGTAGACACCTCTAAGGGGAAGATGGTGGTGGCTCCATATGATAAGCATTGGACTGAAAACTACAAAGTTGGTGGTTCGAGCCCACCAAACTCTCTGTGGGAGAAAGATGAAGCTTTTGGTTCCTGCAAAGATTTAAAGCTTCAGAATCCTGCACAGGGTTGCTATGAGTTGGGATACACTCAATAGCACTCAACAACAACAAAGACATCTCTAAGGCTCTGAAAAGTTAATATACTTGAGTCAGTGATATAAAATCCTCATCTGCAATATGATTCATTGGCCAGAAACCTAAAAAAACAAAAAATTAAACTTGCTTCCGCTTGAAATCTTAAACTTAAATATTTTACTCTAACCACAACTTCTCTCAATTAAATAACTATTTTACACATATCTTCAACTTTTTTGTCCTCATATTCCATCAGCAAAATCCTGAGCTTCAGTCAATCTAATTATTGCCTCACCTGTTCCAGGACCAACAAAAAAAGATGCTGCCATTAAAACTGTTGCCTCCTCTAACTCACTATTTCCACTTCTGCTCTGGGTGCTTAGTACACATTCTAGATCAGCAACTTCCTATATTGACACACCATCTGTTTACAATCTTTAGCACACTTTAGAAACCAACCAGTTCACCACCACTTCCATTACATTTAACCACTTCCCACTTCAGGAAACGAAGAGGAGGCCACAAGACAGAAGACCCTCACCTTCCCAAACTCTACCCTCACTAAAGGATCTGTATCCACATCCATCCATATGCAAAAGTCAGTGGCATAAAGGTAATTGGGACCTTCCTTTCTAAAGACTTTTGGGCCCAAGTATTCATTCTTAAAATTGACCTTAAATATACAAATTCTTTTCTCTTCCTTCCTTAACCGTAACCTCTCATAAAGTGCTGACAAGTCGGTTTTGACTCACAGCAACCCTGTATAGGGTTTCTGAGACTTCTAGAATTCTTGAGGGAGCAGAAAGACTCATCTTTCTCCAGTGAAGGCTTGAATTTCCAATGCTGTGCTTATCCTATGTAAGATTGTTGTTGTTGTCAGGTGCCATTGAGTTGGAACTGACTCATAGCGACCCCATGCACAACAGAACAAAACAATTTCTGATCCCAGGCTAACCCCACCACCGCTGCCATACTTGACGTCATCAATGATGCCACCTGGCTGATCCATCTCATTGGGGGTCATCCTCTTTTTCTCTGACCCTCCATATTATCCAGCATGACATCCTTCTCCAGCGACTGTTCTCTCCTGACAATATGTCCAAAGCATGAGAGACTAAGCTTAGCCATCCTGGCCTCCAAGGAGCACTCTGGCTGCACTTCTTCCAAAACAGATCTATTGGTTCTTTTGGCAGTCCATG